CCTTCGGTAATCAATGAATACCACTGGGGTCGTATCAGAGGCAGTGAACGTAACGACTGTGTTGTCTGCACTCCAATATTTGTGACTGTTTCAGTAGCTACAGATGCCCTCACTTGGTCTGAATCACATGGTAATTCAATAACATCTCCTAATGTTCTTGAAGAAGATAATGTACAACTTCTGGCAGAATTGTCATCCATATTTTTTGACTGTATCGTTCTCCCAGAAGATGAAATATACCTCTGTTTTGCAACAGAACCACTGGCCTTCACATTACCTTCAATAGATTTTTTATCTTCAGACCTTTGTTTTTTAAATCTGATTTCTTTACTGATCTCAGCAAGAAGTTTCTTTAAATCACAGCAACATAAAGGACTGTCATTTGATTTTAATTCTTTCACTACAGTTTCATGACATTCATTAGATTCTGATGCTTTTCTTGTATATTTATGGGCATCAGTCACCTCTGATCCCCGAGAATCTTTGTCTGTTACAGAATTACTTTTTCTGGTCTGCATGAATGCATTAATTCTTCCAGAAACTATGCTATCTGATAACATACTGCCAGTCAATTTGTACGTGTCTCCATTTGTTGATATATCTGATAATATAGGTGCTTGAACTGCCTCTTCTTTCAGTTGTAATTTATCATTTGTGCAGTTATAACTACTTTTCTTGTCATATAATTCAACAGCCATGGGAAATTGTGTGAAAATATCCCTTTTGTCTAAAGAAACTGTCTTTATATTAGGGTCTGATAAATTCTGATGTATTTCTGAAGGAAACTTGGAACTTTTTCTGTTTTTCTTAGGTGATTTGGAACTGCTCGGCTCTGACTTGTTGTCAATATGTTTCAAATTATGACTTTTTCTGACATGTATTTCACTAATACTGCTACCATGTGTAACATCCGACCTGAAATTAAATAATAAATAATACAGTACAATTATTTGGATGCATGACATTTCCAATTACTTGTATGAAAGAGTATAAAAGGATTCATACGCTTCAATTTAATGTAGATTCAGTTTGGTTCAAGTTATAAAAACAGGCAAATTAATGCAGAATAAGAATTATTTTTGTATGAGAGACTACCAAAATTAGGACTTAAATACTAACCAGTGGGAAATCGAAATACAGGTCACCCCTAGAAAAGGTGGAAAAGCCAATTCTTCGAAGAGAGTTGAAGAATACAGGCTTAATAAACCTAATTAATATCAGTTCAAGAAGAAGAGCATTATTTTGTTTAGTTTTTTTATGACATTATATAATTTTCTGAAGTTATGTAGCATCAAATAAGCTATGGCATTAGGAGGGATCTATGAGGAAACAGACCATGTGAAACAAGTGGTAAATGAATGTCCCATATGCAGGATTTGGTAAAAATTATACATAACAATGGAAATAAGTAGAACACCTTAAAACAAAATAATGTAAAAGGAAGAATTCTCTAGAAGGTATCATTCACAAGATATCATGATAAGAAGGAATCATCAAATGGGGCAGGAGTAGCATTGATGCCAAGTAGCAAAGAAATCAGTGGTGAAAGACAGACAGACATGCAAAGGGTTGAATAACTACAAAGAATCTGCAAGTAACACACATGAATAACTGAGTTAATACAAAATAATAGTGCACATAAGAAGAATGCACAGTTCATATACCTCAAAAGGAAGATGACTATCTTCTGGTTTGCAGCACTGTGTAGTCTGAGACAAGTTATGCAAGATTACTTCTACCAGACTACACAGTGCTACAACCCAGAAGACAGCCATCTTCATACTCATCACCGTGAGTACCTCAAATCCAACAGTTCAAAAGCATACAAAGCTTGTCGACATAACACAGCACATGTAACAAAGAGAGTAGTAGGTACAGTAAGTGTTCAGAGTGTCCAACATGCATTTGATGACATGCAAATGTAAGTCACTGAATACTAGCTTGCACACAATGTAACACATCTGCATCAATGACTGCCACAGCAGCATGAAACTTTGCTGCCATGTCTTCCATGTTAATCAGCATATGCCTGTGAACAATTTCTTTCAGGTGTCCCCAAAGGAAGAAGTCCAGATGGTTCAGGTCTGGTAATATTACAAGCCGTGACACAGAGCCATAACGTCCTAGTCACCTGCCAGGAGACTGTGTATTGAGGTGCTGTTTGGACTGTGCACTAAAATGTGCCAGTGTACAGCTGACCCCTATCCAATGGCAGTGGTGGTAGGATGTTTCCGAACACCTCGTCCTCTTGTCCAGCCATCAAAAACACATTCCTGTCTGGATGGTGGTGTCCTGGATACCTTTCTATATAAGCCCTGGCTGCAGCATTGACTGGATTACCACAAGCACCAAGGATCAAATACATAACACAGCGTTTGTGTAATGTGAAGTTCATTTTACTAACCCTTTCTTGCTATGTCTTACTGCCATGGGACAACTGCACAGTACTATAGTAAGACCACTACTGTGCAAAGAGTGTTGATCACTGTTGATCATGGTATCGCAGAGAACTATCTTTTTATTTCCTGTGCCATACATTACATCCTACAACCCTTTGTCATCCCACAGTGTGATCAATGTACTTAATATTTCCCCCACACCTAGAATATGTACATTTATTTCTTATTTTAGAATGCATACAGCACAAATGGATGCCTTACCTAAATGACTCAGGCTCTGTGGCAACTTCACTACTCTTCTGTGAAGTTACAAGATTTCTTCTTTTCTTCTGGTTTTCTTTGCAATTTTGCATCCCAAAACTTTGAAGGTCATTTCTTAGATGCCTCTCTTTTCCCAATAATCTGTAATTAACATTACAACCCACTTGACTTCCATGTAAAATAACCATTAAATCTTAAAGTATATAAACCTAGGCCCACTCAACCTCCTATCCAATTAGTACTGGTGTTACCTTTATTTTCTTGGAGGTAAAGTGACAGATGCATGAAGCTCACAACTCACATAAGCATGGTTTTGAATATTTAGAACTCTATCTTCATGTTCTCTATATGCCTCCTAGTACAGACCCCTCTGTGAAAGTCAGTGAACAGTAGCAGTGATCTTCCAAGCAGAAGAAAGCCAAATCTGAATTCCTAACTGAATGAAACATTCCCCAACCTGCGTGCATCCAATAGACCACATGTGCTTGTATGTTTCGAGCCATGACATCCTATGCTGGATATTTAGGGGTGTCAGGTTCACTGAGAATACTCCACTACAAACTAATATGAACTTATACAATTAATAATCATTGGAAAATGAATAGAAATGAGCATGGACCAATTACGCATTCAACTTTCATCTTCTGACTCTTGACATAATTATGTGATTCACATTTTCACAATTTTTCTTTCTTATAAAAGATGTTTTAATCCGAACAGGTTGCCACACACAAAATAACCCAATCCAAGTAACACATAAATATGACAAAAATTGAATGAGTTATCACAATACAACTAAATGAAGTATTAAGGTTACCCAACTGTTTCAGAGCGTTCAGATGATGGATTTCTGTGCTAATCCAGGAAAGCTGATT